CCCGCTCGCTGCTACAGCAAAAGACACACACAGACACACACGCAGACACACAGACGCACACACAGACACACAGACACACAAACGCACACACACACGAACACACTGTGTCGTTAAGCAGCGACCCAAAGTGGAGACATCAAGAGCAGGCCACGTACAGCATGGTCCATGATTTTGCCGTAAGGTACAGCGTGGTCCATGATTTTGCCGTAAGTTCCAACGAGCGTCTCGGAGTAGAAGGGTGTGTCGCCGCAGAGCATCTCGTACATGCAGACGCCCAGCGACCACCAGTCAACCTCCCGCCCGTATTTGCCCTTGCCCTCCATCGACATGAGAATCTCCGGGGAAATGTAGTCGGGCGTGCCAACAGCGACCTGGCTGTCAACCTGCGCAGGGCGCGAAAGAAAGAGGGGGGGGGGCGCGGCGCGCGCGCTTGTGTGTGTGTGTGTGTGTGTGTGTGTGTGTGTGTGTGTGTACGTGTGTGTGTGTGTGTGTGGACGTACCAGCCCGTTGTCGTCGAGTTTAACACAGGACGTACCAGCCCGTTGTCGTCGAGTTTAACACAGGAACCAAAGTCCGCCAGGCGAATGTGCCCGTTCTTTGACAGCACGATGTTGTCTGGTTTGATGTCACTGCACAGCGCAACGGCGCGCATGTGTCAAAAGCGTGAGTGCCAGCCAAAAGCGAAAGGCTGTTCAATGGATCAACCCCAAAGCAACAGACAACCCATCTTTCCGTCACACACACATATACACAACACGAAGCGGGAGGGGTGGGCGTACCGGTGGACGTATCCGAGGCGGTGGAGAGAGTCGATGGCGAGAATGACCTCCGCGGCGTAGAAGCGGACCATGTCCTCCTCCATCCGGTCCTGCACACACACACACATAAAATCATGGATGTGAACACACGCACACGCACACGCACACGCACACGCATACACGCAGATGAAGAGAAAACACGTCATTACACACGCGGCGCCATGTGGGACGGAAGCAGTGCAGAGCGGGTTTGGCGCACCTCAAACTTGCTGAGGAGCGTGAGAATATCACCGCCAGAATAATACTCCATCACAAGATACAAGTTGTCCTCGTCCTGCAATAAGCAGGCAAGCAGTGCACATGGCACGCATGGCGGTGAGATGGGCACGCGTGAGAGAGAGAGAGAGAGAGAGAGAGAGAGACAGACAGACAGAGAGAGAGAGACAGAGAGAGAGAGAGAGACAGAGAGAGAGAGACAGAGAGAGAGAGAGAGAGAGAGAGAGTGTGTGTGTGTGTGTGTGTGGAAAAGAAGTTGCGATAATTAATTCGGTAATGTGAGGGGTGCAAGCTTCGGTTGCATCACTTCCTCCAGCCTTCATCTCACCTGAAAGGCAAAGTGGAGCTGCGTGATCCACTTGCGGTCTCCAAACACAAGCACGTCGCGCTCCTCCATGAAGCACGCAGTCTGTGTACACACACACACACACACATGCACAAGGGGATGAGGCGGTGTAGGTCATGGGGACACACATCAGTCAAGACATTTGGTGATGGCAAGCAAAACGTGTCAAGGACTGCTGGAGGCAGGTGCACAAACAAAACAGGCAGCATAATAGGCAAACAGGCACGTGTTCCATGCTACCACATCACGCCCCTCCCCACCAAACACACACACGCACACACACGACCAACAAACCTCCTTGCGCTTGAGCATTTCCCACTTGTTGAGGATCTTCATTGCGTACACCTTCTTCGACACCTTGTGCCGCACCACCTGCACCTCTCCAAAGGCCCCGCGCCCAATGATCTTCAACGTGTCAAAGTCCTTGCGAGTGACCAGCACTTGCTGCGCGGCTTTCACGCCATCTTCATCTGCAGGATGTGTGTGTGTGTGTTACGGACACAGGGCAACACGGTGGAGTCAGCACAGTCAGGCCAAGAGCAGGAGCACACCCGAGACAGACAGACACACCCACACACCCACACACCCACACACCCACGCACACACGCACACACTCTCTGCCTTGCTCCGTCCAAGTTGTTATTGCAAGCAAAAAACAAACACATAACCACACACGTTGGGTGACAAAGTCGTGGATGTTCTTCTCCTTGCGAAGCTGCGGCGCCTTGAGTTCCTGATGCACGGCCAAGAATGTGTCAAACAGCAGCTCATAGGGTAGAATCTCCTGCATCTTCGACTGCACGGGGTCATCTGGCGGCCTGCGGCGCAGCGACTCCGACCTCGATGTCGGCGTCGTGTCCATGGTGCTGCTGATCCCGGCACGTAGCGAGCGTATTGATACGGAACGATGCCTTTATGGGGACTCTTGTTGCTGTAGCTGTTGATGTTGTGTCAAGTGCGAAATTGAATCCAAGATCAGCCTATGAGCCGTGTCTTTCGTCGCCAGTCGCTCAAACTACAAGCTGCTGGGTATTGTCGTAGTTGCCACTGCTGCTGCTGCTGCGGCCGTCGGTGAAGCACGTTCTTTGATCCTCTCTCTCAGGGATGCGGTGTGTGCTGTTGATATGAGGTTTGTGAGGTTTTATGCGATGACATAGCATGTGTGTGTGCACGTGTATATTTGTGTGTGGCGCGTGTGAGGTGTGTTGTTGTTCGTGAGCTGGTGAGTTGGCGTGGGTAAACGTTGGTCAGAGCTGTAGCAAGGTGTGTCAACAAATGCGAAATCGCCCCCCCCCCCACACACACGACCAAGCCAGCTCGCTTGCTTGCTTGTCGCCTTGGACGATGTGACAGTAACGACACTCAAAAGACGCTGCACACCAAGTGATTCCTTCCACACACACACACACGATTGTGCATCCACACATCATCATCATCATCACCACCATCATCATCACCACCATCATCATCACCATCATCATCATCACCACCATCATCATCAGAACCAGGTCAGCACGCAGATCCCCCCGTCCCAACAAACCCACAAACAACAAGGACAAAGACAACAACAAAGGATGTCCTCCAGTGCATGTGTCTTTGTGGTTTCTTTCCCCGCCACTCGTCATTCGTTTCCCCGCATCCCCCGCATGCACCACGGCCCAGCACCATCCTATCCCCCCAAGTCCTCGCACACCACACCAACCAAACACAAACGCACACCTCGCTCACCTCTCGTCTTCTTCGCCGTCAACCGTTCCTGCTTGCTTGCTTGTTGTGCTGGGGAAAAATGTCAGAAATTTGGATGGAGATTTCCACCAAAATCACTGCTGGGCTATTTGTACTTTTAATAGGCCAGTTGAAACAACGTGGTCGGTCAAGCAAAGACTGAGGAGAGGGCGCAAGAGTGCGGCGAGCAGAGAGAACGCACCAAGCGAGCGAGCAAGCGAGCGACACCACCAGCAACCACACACCACACCACGGCTCACGCCTGCACCACGGCCATTCCGCAACCTTTGTCCCCTGCCTGTCACTTACACACCGCAGTGGGCGCCTGTTGATGTCCCCAAGGCACGGCCTCTGGACCAGGGACAATGCGTCGTTGTGCGGGTGACTTGTCGTCGTGGGCTGCCTGTCGCCGCCACCTGCACCACTTGCAGCTCCGCCGCAGCACACAGCCCCATCGCAGCAACCCTCTCACAACACAGATTGCACGCTGGTCTGCAGCCAGATATAACCACCACAACAGCCACCACAGGCTGCACAACCACCACAGGCTGCACAACCCGCGCGGCTGCCCCCACACTGCCACATGCGCCAGGCAGCACCTCCATGCGAGCAACCTCAGCCCCAGCATACCAGCGAAATTCACGACTACATCCAGAGCATTACGACCAGTCACAGAAAGAATAGGTGCGATAGGACAAGGTTCGGGCACAGCTGCGCAACACATGCAGGCGCATGCATGCGTGCGCAGGGGTGCCCCAGCAGCGCTCCCAGCAGCATCTGTCGTCAGCGGGCACAGCAGGCACCTCCACTCTACTTCGCTGTTGGCTGTACAGCGCACAGCCTTGCTTCCTCTCCATACTGCACAGCTCCGAACGAAGTCATCGCAAGCTGCCACAGCGTCATCAGTTCAGGAACAAGCAAACAAGAAGAGCCACAACAACAACAACTCACCCGCAGGCAACCACACCGCCAACGTTGCTCCTGCAAACGCTGCTGAACAACAACAACAACAACAGCAGCAGCAACAGCAGCAGCAGCAACAGCAGCAGCAATTAGAAACAGCTTCACATCACGTCATGAAACCACTAACTGCAACCATCACACCCACGCAAACAGCACAAACACCATCAACAAAAACACCAGCACCAGCACCAGCACCAGCACCAGCACGTGCTGATGCGCCTGCTTCAAATGCCACCGAGAGTGCCGCGGTCGACGCTGCGATGCAGGACCGAGAGGAGCAGGTGTCGCACCAGGTCCGCCTCATTGCCGAGATGGAGACAAAGGGGCTGCCTGTTGAGCACTATCGCAGCACGTTCCTACAGCAGCACGCAGAACGTGGCGAACCGCAATACTTTACACACTACATGCAGGCAGAGGCCCTTGCCGAAAACGAGGAGTGGCGACGGCTGCTGTTGCAAGCGTACGCGCGTGCCCCGGCATACACGGCCACAGCAGCGCTGCAGCACCTGCGGCAGAGCGGGTTCGAGGTTGACCGCCAATGGACGCACGAGTGCATTGAGGCGTACACAGAGGCCGGCCGCCCGCAGGAGGCGAGCGACCTGCTGCTCAGGCTGCTCGACTACGAGAAGAAGCCGTGGACTGGCGCGCGGCGCCTGTACACGCAGGTCATCTCCCGCCTGTGCAAGGAGGGCGACCCCATCAGCGCCATCGAGGTGGTGCACGCCTTCCTCAAGTACAACGTGCTCATCAACAACCACACCTTTCGCCTCATCATGGACACGCTCGCCACGCGCGGCAAGTACAAGGAGGCGAGCGAATTCTTCAACGCCATGCTGGCCACGGGGCTCGTGCCGCACAGGGGCGTGTACCGTGCGTTTCTCGACGCATACCTCGCTGCAGGGGAGCTGGAGGAGGCAGCTCGCCTGGTGGATATTATGGCGCGAAGCGGTGTTGTCGACGACTGGGAGCACGCGCGCGTGGAGATGTACAACCGCGTGTTCCGCGGCCTCCTCGCCAACGAGTCTGTGAAGAGCGCAAAAGCATATGCCCTCACGGCGCCCAATTTCCGATTCCACATGGACAGCCACTCGTGCAAAGAGGTGGTGCGCTTGTACGAGACGGGTGCGCTGCCGGCCTCAACGGCCCTTGTGCTCTTCCAAACCCTCGGCGCAATCACCCCAGACACGCTCGCCAGCTTGTGCGACCTCGCACAGGCCATGAGCAAGCGCGTCACAGCTCCGACAACAACAGCATCGACAGCAACCGCAGGTACATTGACAGCAATACCAGCAACAACAACAACGACAGCGAGTGCGACTGGTGCTCGTGCGACAGGTGCTCGTGCGGGCACAACAGCCACCGCGGGCGCCGCTGATATTGGAGAGCTCGACTCCCTGCTCACGCTGATTCAGCGCATTCGCTCCTTCCTGCTCACATCCCAGCGCGCAAGCGGTGGCGGCAGCTCCAGTCATGCGAACGTCGCAGACGCCGCTGCTGCTACTGCGCGCGATGCATTTTCCCGCAAGACCGACGCTGCAGTTGGCAAAGACGGAGAAGCAGTGCCCACATCCTCGCCATCATCGTCGTCATCATCATCGTCGTCGTCGTCACAACCCCCAGCTGAACGCCGTGGTGGGGCTCCCGTGCTGGAGCACTTGGGCGATTACACGGCCGATTCGCTGCGCACCGCCGCCGAGCACATGCTTGATGCTGTTGGCCGTGCTACCACGTCGCAAGGGGCAGCAGCTTTAACAGCAGCAACAGCAGGTTCTCTCAAGGTTGACGGTAGTGTTGTGGACGCGCTGCTTGCTGCACTGCACATGCGCGTACAGCGGCAGGAGTGGGTTGAGGCCAAGGCACTGCTCAAGGACGTCTATGCCATCAACACGGACCTGAGCGAGGCGCAACGCTCACATCTAGTGGAGACCCTGAAGCAGGCGCGACAGCAGTGGGCCGCCAGCAAACACCTGCTTGAGGCAGCAAGCGAACATTCACACCCACACCCAACACCAACAACAGGAAAAGGCGCAGCGACAGCCACAACAGAACAAGTAGCAGCAGCAACTCCAGTGACAACGACAGCAACAGCAACAGCGACAGAGACGCATGCCACCCCGACTCCACCTACAACGGTCACATCATCGCCTGTGAGCATGGGCAAGACCGAGGATCTCAAGGCGTTTCTGACAGCATACGACAGCCTCGTCAACCCGCAGTTTGCCATGGCCTCGAAGGAGCTTGAGCTGGCGGCGGCGGTCAAGGAAGGCAGCGTTGATGGCGCGTTTGCCGTCATTGCCGCCATGAAGAGCGCAGATTTGACCGTGAGTCATCGTCACTATGCGCAGGTTGCCTCGCTGGTGGGCAACGATCCAGAGGTGCTTCTCTTCCACTTTCGGCGGCTGAGCCAACGCGGCCTGTCCTTTGCCACGACGGAGGTTGACTGGCTTGTGCGCCACCTGGTGCGCCATGGGCTGCTGGGCCGTGCGCTTGACGTGCCGGCTGCGCTACCCTCATATCGCCCCTCGCACATCATCCTGCGTGAGCTCCTTGTTGCCGCTGCCACCAGTGGCAGCGCCGCTACACCCGCACCAGCAGCTCACAGTGCAGGTTCATCAACCAGTGCCACCAGTACGGCCGCAGTGCCCTCGCCTCCAACTACGCCACCACCACCAACGCCATCACCAACACCGACGACTGCCGCCTCCTTGCTGCCTGCTGCGCTTGAGCTGTACGTGAGCGGCGGCGCGTCCTTCTCGCAGGCGGAGGTGGAGGTGCTTGCAGACCTGTTCAAGCCAGAGGCCCTCGGGGCTGTGGTGGACATTGTCAACAAGGCGTACGCGCTGCAGCCCACGCTGGTTGATGACCGCGCATTTGTGACCCTGGCTGAGCGGCTTGTGGAGGCAGGCCTGACGCAGCATTGCCTGTCACTCGTCGACATGTGTCACAGCATCAACGTTACCCTGCCCCCGCGCGTGTACACGCTGCTTGCGCACCAAGTGCTTGCCCAGCACGGCTGGTCTCGCTTCACGCGGCTGCAAGACAGCATGGCGCATGTCGGTGTGTACTTCAAGCGGGAGGATCGGCAACAGCTGCGCCAGCGCGCCGAGGCTGCATGGAAGGTAACACAACACAAGTCTGCACCGTATCATCAACATGTCTGTATGTGTGTTTCTGTTGTTTGTTTGTTTGTTTGTTTGTTTGTGTGTGTGTGTGTGTGTGTGCGTTTGTTTGTTTGTGCGTGTGTGTGTGTGTTTATGTTTGTTTGCTTGTTTGTGTGTGTGTGCGCGCGCGCGTTTGCTTGTTTGTGTGTGTGTGCGCGCGTTTGTTTGTTTGTGTGGATGTTGTTTTGGGGGCGGAGAGAGAGAGGAGTGCATTTGCTTGTCATCTTGCTTTCCTGCATGACACGCACGCAGGACAGACAACAAACGCAACGTCTCGTTTACACCCACACGCACACACAGACACAATCAATGACACTGTCCCCTTTCGCTCTGCTCTTTGTTTCTTGTTTGCCAAGACTGCATCTTTTCTCTGCTCACCCACATTGCCGCTTTTCCTCGCACGTCTGCGCTGTACAGAAGGATTCAAGTGCCGTTCACCTGCTCAGCTCGAGGGCGGATGTAAAAGGCTTGGTGCAGCGTGCGCTTGACATGACGCTAGACGCGGGGCCACCACACGTGTTCTGCACACGCGCCGTTGCCGAGGACACGTGCTTTGAGCTGATTCGCCAGCGCCAGCACACCACGCTTGCCGAGTTTGTCGCGTACATGGACGCACAGCTGCTGCCCGTGCCGGACAAGGTCATGGCGGCGCTCCTGCACCTTGCACGAGAGGCAAAGGACCCGGCTACGTGCAAATGGGTGGTGACCTTCTGCCACACGCACGGCATGCGCATCCCTGCTGCCTCCGTGCGCCTGATTACAGAGAGCCTGCTCGAACACGGGCAACGCGCAGCGGCGATTGACTATCTCTTCTACAGCATGGACGCCTTTCCGCTCGTGTGCCGGCCGGCAATGATCCAAAGCATCGTGCAGAACGTGCCAGCAAGGACAGCACGCGCCACCCTGCAGCAGGTGACGGAACGGGCACTGGACACCAACTCGGGCAAGGTGCTCAACGCGTTGCTGGACTACCACATTGAGAACGAGCGCCCGGCAGAGGCGGCAGCGCTGTTCACGCAGGTGGTGCAGCAGAAGAAGCACCTCAAGCACAAGCGCGAGTACTTTCGCACGCTCGTCAGCCAGCTCTTGCAGGACGGCGACGGCCAACACGCACACCAGCTGCTGACGACCCTGGCTCCGCTCGGCTTCAACGCAGACAAGGACACGAACCTTGCCCTGCTCTCGTACCACAGCAGCCGCGGCGCCATTGGGGAGGCCGAGGCGCTTCTGCAGGCTGTTGCCGAATCCGGCCACCGTGTCAAGGATGCCATGTACACCACCGTGGTTCTCGGGGCTGTTGGACACCGCGCAATCACGCGTGCAGAGGAGCTGTTTGCGCGCATGCTGGCCGAGGACAGAACAGACCTGCTGCCGTCCATGCTGGCACTTGCGCGGTATTACATGGAGCACGGCGACTACGACGCCGTCAACAAGCTCGCCCAGACACATGTGCTGCTGGGCAAAGTGAAGCAGAGGCCAGAGGAGGAGGCCCAGTTGCAGCGCTTCTTCGAACAGGCGAGCCAGCGCGCTGGTGGGCTCTCGACTGGTGGCGCTGATGGTGCTGCGTCCACCTACTACAGCGACGGCAGTGATGACGATGAAGACTTGCTTGCGTCGCGCACGGACACGAGCAGCGAGGGTGAGCTTGTTGGGGACTCGGCCAGTGCACCTGGTGCAGCGGCAGCAAGTTCCTACGATGAGAGTGATATCCTTGCTGATGGCAGCGACGACGGTGATTTGGAAGGGTTGGTCGTCGCCACTACTGGCGCCACGAGCAACAGTGGCGGCAGTGGCACGGGTGCATTCGACTTGCGCCATTTCTTGTCCTTTGGCGATGAGGACCCTGTCAGCGATGTTGCTGGGCGTGGCCACAACGACCACGGCGGTGAGGAGGAGGTCAGCGCAGTGAAAGCGCCACTCAACAGCGTTCGGGACACGGCATTGGAGCAGGCACAACCACAGCCACAACAACACAACAAGCGGCAGGAACTTACTCAGCTGCACAAGCAGCCTCAAACCACGCATCTTCAGCGCCAATCACAGCAGAAACAACAGCAGAAACAACAGCAGCAACAAGAGAAGCAGCCACAGGGACGACAGCAACAAGCTACATCAATGCAGGGGACTGCTGCTTCCACTGACACGGAGGCTGCTGACACAGAGTCGAGTGATAGTCCCAAGGATGTGGACGTCGCAGCCCGCCTGCGCATGGCGTTGGCACGCGGTGCACACGTGACGCTGGCAACGGAGGAGGACGTGGATGAGGCAATGACGTTGCTTGAGTCGCTTGCACACGCAGGACAGGTGCAGCAGTGCCTCACACTCCGCAATGCACTTCTCCACCCGCTCACCCCTGCGCATGCACCCGCCAGTGCTGGTCGTGCGAGTGCAGGTGGTGTTGGGGAGGGGACGTATGACGATGCCGCCGCCGCCACGCGCGCGTCTTCCGCAGTGGAGCCGCTGCTGTGCCTGGCGTTTGCCGTGGCAGACCAGCCAACAGCAGCGCGCGAGCATGCGCGGCGCGTGGCCCAAACCGATGAGCACCTGGGTGCGGAGTGCCTGCGGGCGACTATTGGCGGGTGTCTGGAGGCCAACAACCCCTGGGCGGCGTATGAGGCGCTGCAGGAGATGGTAGCGAGCGGTGTGGATGTGCGAGCAAGCGACTTTGTTGACGTGTTGGAGGTGAGCATCGAGGCTGGCAACCGCAGAAACGTGGCACGCGTGCTGTCGCTCATGGACACATCGCACGTGCAGCCGAACTTGCGTGTGTACCGGCTGCGTCTTGATGACCTGCTGGCGCGTGGGGACATGAACGCGCTCGCAGTCGTGCTTGAGGAAGCGCTGTCGCACCGCCGCTTCCCGCGCCGCGCCTTCACCAAGTACATTCGCCTCGTGTACGGCGCTGACGACCACGAGGGCGAGGAGCAGCAGCGCGAGCGCAGGCTTGCTGCCGCTGTTGCCGGCGCAGGGAAGGTGGCGGCGGCGCTGTACGCACACGCGCCGCTGCCGCGCAAATTTGAACACAAGGACGCTGTGCGCGCTGCTCGCGTGTTTGCGATGCTGGCCGAGGTGGAGCTGGCCGAGCGGCTGGTGGAGGAGATGGAGGGCCGCGGTGTGGAGACGGGGCCGGCAATCTGGAACGCGCTGTTGCGGGCAGCCGCACGTCGTGACGGTGTGGCGGGTGTGCTAGCGAGCGCGCATGCCATGCACGCCGCAGGGCAGCCCTTTGATGCCGGGTCGTATGCTGCGGTGCTCTCGGCGCTGGTGTCTCCGCACGCCAGCAGCGAGGAGAGCATCTACCCGCCGCCACTGGCATCGTCGCAGCCGCCGCACGCGGGACCGGCAGCAGACAGTGATGAGGAACCTGGTTGGGCTCACAAGCCGCCCCACAGCCACCAACACAGGCGGGTAGTGGCGGCTGTGGCGAGGACGCCTGGCGCCAGCGTGGAGGACGCGCAGTCTCCAGAAAGCGCCGTCAGCACGCTGTGCGGGTTCCTGCAGGTGCTTGAGCGGCCGTTGTCGCTGTCTGCGTTCCACGCCATTCTGGAGAGCTGCGTGCAGCTTGGGCAGCCTGACCTGGCGCAGGCGACGGTGAGCGCCATGCAAGCGCGTGGGGTGCGGCCGAGCGTCCGCAGCTGCGAGCTGCTGATGCGCACACACGAGCGGCACGGCGATCTTCGCGGTGCAGAGCGCGTGTTGGAATCGATGCACAGCTGGGGGCTGCGGCCACCTGTGCCGCTGTTCAGGCGGCTGCTACAGGTGTATGCGTTTGGGGGCCGGCCAGAGGACATCACGCGCGTTGTGGAGCTGATGCAGTCGGAAGGGATTGACCTGAACGAGGACAGCATCAACGCGCTGGTGGCCGCGTACTGTTCGTCGGGCCGCCCACTGCAGGCCAAGACAGTGGCAGACAACCTGGAGGATGCCGGGTACACGGTGACGCACGTGGCATACAGCAACCTGATGAAGGCGTTTGTGCGCGAGCGCCACTTTGACCGGGCGGTGGAGGCCTTTGATCGTGTTGCCGAGAGCGGGCAGCCAAACGCATACAGCTTCCATCTCGCCCTCGTGTTGGCGGAGGCGCTCGGGGACAAGGAGTTGGACAAGCGGGCTCGGGCGCTGCTTGCTGCTGCAAACATGGCTGTTGACCCACGGCTGCTGGCAGCGCTGCGAAGACAGCTGCAGGGACAGCAGCAGCAGCAGCAGCAGCAGCAGTGACAGTAGCAACACTAGGAGCAACGGCAGCGTGTTGGCTGTTGGAGATTTACGTTGATTGGTTCCCTCCCTTGCTTGCTCACTTGTGTGCGGTATCGTTATTGCATTGATGAAACATTTCACTCATCAACCTCAAAGGCCAGGTCACGTGTGTGTATGTTGTGTGTGTATGTGTGTATGCGTGTGTGTGTGCATGCGTGTGTGTGTGCATGCGTGTGTGTTCTGGGGTTCATTGGGTTGGCTTTGGCACTTGTTACTCGCCACCACCAACGCCAGAGCCCGTGATTGTCACGCGTGTGTGGGTTTGTTTAGCTGTGCTCTTGCTGTAGCTGTCATCTGGTGTAGTTGTGATGTTCATTAATATTGAAGCGTGTGTAACATACGCAGGCACATGGAGAAAATGGTGCGGAAGCAAACTGGCAGAGATGCAAGTGCACTCAACGAACAACACGTCTCATGTGTGTGTGTGTGTGTGTGTGTGTAATGGGCGGCCTGGCCACGTCGGCGTTGCTTGTGTGTGGAATCATGAAAGGGGAAGAAAAGCGAAAAGGATCGCAACCGTTCACTATGATCGGGATGCCACTGCAGACGAGAGAGAGAGAGAGAGAGAGAGTGTGTGTGTGTGTATGTGTGTATGAGTGTGCGTGCATGTATGTGAGTGTATGAGTGTATGTGTGTGTGTGTGAATGTGGCCAGAGAGAGAGAGAGTGTGTGTGTGTGTGTGTGTGCGTGTGTGCGCGTGCATGTATGTGAGTGTATGTGTGTGTATGCGTGTGTGTGTGTGTGTGTGGTGTTGCAGCAAAGTTTGATAGTTGGTGATCCGTGCGGCGGTTCATGGTGGTGACACAATGATACAACCAAGCACAAAACAGCACACGTGGATCTCAACTCCACATTCACATACCTCGGATGACCTCTGTGTCGACTTGACGAGGAGTTGCAGATCGCGACGAAAACGCAACAGTGCCGCTGCCGCTGCTGTTTGTGCTCAAGCTGCTCACGCTGGTGTTGACCATGCGTGCAGCAAGGTTCACGCTGTCACCATCGTCGTCGTCATCATCATCACTGCTGATGGGAGCCGGGGTTGCCTGAGCCGACATGGACTGCGGGTGCAGCGGTCGGCGCTCCGCATCGGCGTCGTCCATATCCTCCAGCTCGAGGGACGATGCGTCGTCGTCATCAATGCGCACGCGGTGCTCGCCTTGCTGCTGCTGCTGGTGGTGGTGGTGGTGGTGGTGGTTGTGGTTGTGGTTGTGCGGGGCGTGTGTGCCATTATGCTGGGCCTCCACTGCCTCCACAGCGTTGGCTTTGCAAAGCGGGCAGGTACCGCGGGCCGTGAGCCAGGGATCGATGCACGCAACGTGAAACTGAAATCAGGGCGCACGGTGCAGTGGTGGAGGTGAGAAACAGTCATCGAGACGTACCAACACGCAATGTACATGTGTGCGTCAACGTGTTTGCGCTGGCACACACATCCATGACCTGCCGACTTACTTCGTGTCTGGGTGACGACGACGATGATTGGCGCATTCATCCGCACGCGAATGCATACGCGCACAGAATGACATGTAACATGTGAGGTTTCGACCATACGAAAAGCAAGCACATCCACAGAAAAGGCCACAAACACGACAACAACCAATACGAAACAAACCAAATCACAGAACAGCACAATCACACGCACACACACACGCACATTTTGATGCACGCACACCTTCATACACACATACACATTTTCATGCACACACGCACATTCATGCACACATGAACACAACAGTAGCCAACTCCATACCTGCAGGGTAGACATCGCAGCACGTCACCATCCTCAAACTCTTCAATGCAAATTGCACACACGGGTTCGTCATCATCGTCGTCGTCATTGTTGTTGTTGTTGTTGTTGTTGTTGTCATTCGTGCAGGTGGTGTTGCTGCCGGCATTTGGTGCTGGCGCACATCGACTGTGGCATGACGGTGCCGATGGAGCTGATGCACATGTGGTGGCGGTGGAAGGTGTTGTTGCTGCCGGGCCATCACCATCACTCCGATCCGAACCAGCAGGTGCTGCGGTTGCGGTGCACTCTGGATTGCTCGAGAACCCAGCCGCTGCTGCTGTCGTTGCACAGGCACTTGTCGCCTGCTGCTTTGGTCTGGGTCGACACATACACAAGCGGAACAGGAGATGATGGCGGGAACAGTAAGCGTGCATGAGCGCGCAATCGCGTGAACGGGAAGCAAGCAAACAGCATGAAAGTGAAGGGTTGAGGGGGTTGTGTGGACCGAAGAGGCAGTACAAATGCAGGCATGGCAGCAGATAGCAACGCAAGCGACACGCAATGGTGATCACAAAGTACGCGAAACAGAAGAGCACAGTGTGCAAAGACACAGCAAACAAAAGCAGCAGCAGCCATTATCAGGCATACAAGCACGAACACAGCACAGCACACGGTCCATCAGTCTGCCGCATTACCTGCGGTGGTACGTGCGCGTCTCCATATGTTGGAGGGCCTGTGTTGCGCGGTCGTTGAAGCGGCCCTGCTCAACCACAACCCGCCGGTCAATCTGAATAGTGTTGTGGTGCCGGGGGGGATGGAGATGGAGATGGAGATGGGTGGAGGGGTGAATCGATGGTCGGGGGAATGGAGATGGATGGAGAAGTGTGCATGGCATTGGTGAGTGACGGAAAGAACAATGTGGATCACGCATGCAGCACCATCATGGCACACACACACACACACACACAAAGAGAAAAGCTATTTGCAAGCATTGCGCGTGTGCATACCCTGCGTTGGCAGAAGAGGCGGCGAAGGCCGTGCTGGCAGTAGACGGAGGACATGAACACAAACACGATGCACAGAACGATGAAGATGGCCGTGCGCGTGTAAAATGTCAGGGCCGCAAAGTCAATCGTCTCATACGGCTCAATCTGCACAGAGAGAGAGAGAGGTGTACGTGTGTGTGTGTGTGTGTGTGTTTGTGTGCGTGTGTGCGTGCGTGCGGGTGCGTGTGTGTGTGTGTGTTGTGCGCGTGTGAGTGAGAGTGAGAGAGTAAGAGAGTGAGCGAGAGCGAGCCTGAACGAGTGCGATTGTAAGAAGAGCAGGGTGATTGTGTCATCGTGGCTTGGCCTGAAGCAAACAAGCAGTGCACGTATGGCGTGTCATGACAGGCGAAAATTCATGTGTAGGGCGCACCGTGACGTTGAGGCTGCGGATGTTGACGTCGTTGCTGAGAAGATTGAGGCGTGCAGACACATCAGGGGTGCACGAGACGGAAGGGAACGAGAGCGCCTTGTCCTCGGTGGTCATGAGGATCACGCTCCCGCGCTGGCTGTGCACGTCGCTGATGATCATGCCGGCCATGCCATACGCCCGCGCCACATACGCCTGTTGGGAGGAAGCAAGCAAGGGGGCAGGAGCAGGTGATTGACGAAGGTGAGGAGGGGTACGTGAATATGTCATGTGTGCGTACGCGTGTGTGTGTGTGTGCGTACGCGTGTGTGTGTGTGTCATGTGTGTGTGTGTGTGTGTGTTTTGGGGGGGTGAGTGTCTCATGGGTGTGTGTTGTGTTCAATGTGTGTGTGTGTTTGTTCATGCGTGTGTGTGTGTGTGTGTGTGTGTGTGTGTGTGTGTGTGTGTGTGTGTGTGTGTGTGTGTGTGTGTGTGTGTGTGCAACATCGACACTTGGGGCGCGTGATTCACTTGTACGGAGGGAAACTCAGGCAGACAATTAAACACACACACAACCACACGCACACGCATTCAACTACATGGAGAAGACGGGACCTGTTGGGTGAAGGAGCAGTTGCTTGTGCGGTCAGCGAGCATGAGCTTTGGCCGCGATGGCGGCGGCGGTGGCGTTGTCGGCAATTTACAGCTCTGGCAGTAACAATGACGAGGAAGATGAGGAAGAAGGAGGTAGAAGACGAGTGCGTGTGTGAGAGTGTGCGTGCGTGCGTGCGTGCGTGTGTGTGTGCGTGTGTGTGTGTGTGTGTGTGCGTGTGTGTGTGTGTGTGTGTGTGTGTGTGTGTGTGTGTGTGTGTGTGTGTGTGTGCAAAGGGTTCAGAATACACGTACGTGTGTGAGCTGGCTGTGCAAAGCACGCAAGAATGACGCCACTCACCACGCATGAAACATAAAGCACACCAAACGAACGCACCACCCGGCACACAAGCGCACTAGCCGTCCATGCCCGCCCACCTTCTCCGGGGCGAAGACGACGACTTCGCCGACGATGGGATTGGATGGAGAAAACTTGGCATAGAGTGTGTCTGTGAGTTTCTCGTGGAACACACGACCATCGACGCGGTAGGTGACAGATGTGTCCCCGAGAACAAAAGACGCTGCACTTGTCTCGGTCACAAAGCAGCCCATCAGCGCGAGCATCACTGCAAGGGCAATGGTTGCCATCGTCAGTGCATCACCACCCATGTTGATGATGCTATCCGTAATGCAGCACAAGAAGAACCCTGGTCGCTGGTGTCCTGCAAGCATGCGTGCAGCGCAACGACATGAAATGAATCGATCGATGGTGACTTAAAGCTTGAGCAACACCTGAGACAGATAGAGTGACAGAGATCGACACAGACATCTACAAACAAACACACATGAACAAACACAACCACAAGTGGCATTTGGGGTGCTGTCCATCTCCCCTCCCCCTACACGTGCACACTCACGTACATACACGAGTTAGCATGCAAGCAAGACATGCAAGACATGCAAGCAAACATGTGCGTCTTCAATTACGGTCGATTTGATCTCTGCCTACCTGAACGGATGGAGGAGGACTGACGAGTGGGTGGGTGTGCGGCGTTATGTGCACGCGATGAAGCAGGGAGATCGGCGACTGCGAGTATGTGTGTGTGTGTGAATGACCGCTTGTTGGATGTTGTGACGGTGTTTCCTTTTCCTTGGCGGCGTCCCCGTGTGTGAGCGAAGGGTGCGGTGGTGGCTGCGAGTGCTGACAGGGGTGCTTCGCTGGCAGCAAGAGGGCAGAGTTGAGGAGGACGGGAAAGAACGCAATGTTTGTGTTCCCTGAAGAAAATTCTTTAATACTTTTAACGAAATTCTACCAATGCGGTTGTTCGTGTGTTGTTGTTGTTGAGAAGACGTGGTGCGTGCATTGTTCGCACCACGCGCGTCTCTGACCTTCCCTGCTCCACACGCCCTCTTCCACGTCCATCGTCGACGTCCATCGTCGACGTTATAGTGCCGCCTCTATAGCCACTCTTCTGCTTCCCCCCTCTCTCTCTCCCTCCTGTCATCGCCTGGCTGGAGCTCCACTTCATCCTTCATGCCATTCTTTTACTGCAAGGAAAAAACAAACACAATGAAAGGAATAAACGAACAGACAAAAAGTGCGACGGAGTAGGGACGGTGTGTGTGTGCCGGGGATGTGTAGCTTTGGGTGAGGTGGCTGTTTGCAGCGTGGTAGTGCTGCTGGTGGTGTTAGACGTGGCTGTCACCTGTAGCAGCTGCTGGGTCGGCATCGCCGCTGCTGTGTTCATGGCCACCGTTGCTGGCACTGTTGGAACCGCTTGTGGTCTGGTTCTCCCGAGAATCGCCAGCTGCAGTAGCCATGGGGACGTTACCCGACATGCCTGTGGGATGTGACTGGGGATGCTGGTGCTGCTGGTGCTGTTGGTTTTGCTGGTGCTGCTGGTGCTGGTGCTGTTGGTGTTGCTGCTGGTGCTGCTGGTGCTGGTGCTGTTGGTGTTGCTGCTGTTGCTGTTGGTGTTGCTGCTGTTGGTGTTGCTGGTGCTGCTGGTGGATTGTGTGTGGCATCCAGAATGGTCCCTGCGGCAGCTGCAGTGCCTCCACTTCTGCCCCACCCGACACGCTCGCTGCTGTGGAGGCCGGCACAGGTGTCTCTGCTGACGGTGCTGACGGTGTTGCTTTGGTAGCGGCAGCCAGGGCCGTCGCAGACGCTGCTGTTGACGTTGTAGCCTGGGACGTGACGGTACAGGGCACTGTCAGGGCGATGAGTGGCGTGGCTGCTGGCGTGGCTGTTGTTGGGGCCGTTGCACTCGAAGATGTTGGGGCTGTTGAGGTGTTGGCGGTTGTTGTGGCGGTTGCACTCGACGTTGTTGGCGCTACTGTCGTGGCTACTGTAGCCGTGGGGCTTGTCACAGTGCCTGTTGAGCCTGCTGGCGTTGTAGTTGTTGCTGCAGTCGGTGCTGTTGCAGCTGTGATTGTATCTGTTGTTGAGGCGGATGCTGCCACGGCGGCCCGCGGTGTTGTTGCCGTACCGCCCTGCCCAGGCACGTCCATCAACGTCTACAATCGTGTTGTGTGGGAGGAGACGCAAGAAGCAGGTACGGGTTGGGGTGAGATGGGGTGGCAGGAAGACAAAATGAGCAACCATAGTTTGCCCGCAGAAGCAGGAGGGTTGTACTCGCCCAGGAGAAACAATAACAGGAACACCATACTCATCGAGACACGCACAGACAGAAAGAAAGACACGTCCACACCCACGCGCGCATGAACGGGGGAAGCGATTCACACGCAAGCACGAGCACAAGCACGAGCACGAGCACGAGCACAAGCACAAGCACAAGCACGAGTAGGCACGAGCAAGCACAAGCACACGCACGCACACAGACACACACGTACACACACACACACGCGCACCTGCTTTGGGCCCCGCAGGTATCCTTCGCGAACAAGAAACCGCTGGGTGGCGCGGAGGGCGGCCTTGTAGTCTTTGGGATCGTCGGCCCCATCGTCCGTCTTGTCCACCTTCACCAAGTCATGGCGGCGCAGCAGCACGAGCACGTGCGCAGCCGTCACGTTGTTGGTCTCCCTGTGCTGCTGCTGCACATAGTCGCGGACGAGCTTGCGCACGTCGTCGGTGGCCGGCACGCGCGTCTTGAGCTTTGTCTTCTTGCCTCGCAAGTTGGTTACTTTGAATGGGCCTGCATCCGTCTTTGCCTGAGCTCCCTGCACACTCACATACCACAGAAGCAACGTGGGATGTGCGTGTGAGTATGTGTGAGTGTGTGTGAGTGTGAGAGTGTGTGAGTGTGTGTGTGTGTGTGAGTGAGTGAGTGTGTGTGTGTGAGAGTGAAAGAGAGTGGGTGGTGTGTGTGTGTATTTACATGTTCCGATGTTTGTATATGCTTTTGATTGTATGTCGGTGTGTGTGCGAGTGTGTGCGAGTGTGTGCTGAAGTGTGTGCTGAAGTGCAAAAGGCAGAGTGTATCTTGGTGATTGACGCTCAACCCCACCGTGTCGCCTGGTTTTGCCTGGTCTTGGCCCTTCTGCTCATGCCGGCTGTTCCAGCGAGCGTACGCGTGTCCAACTGTTGCCACACCGTATCTGCGAACCACAGGCAAACGCCACCAAAGGTGCAGTCGCATCACATCAGGTATGGCCAAGCAAGTGAGTGTGCATGAGGGTCGTGCGCAAGACAAGTAAACATCGCAACGGGAAACAGCAGGCACGCACCAAACACTCGCATACATATGAACACATGTGCACACACACACACACGCACACATATGAATACACACGCACACTCGCAACAAACATACACACATACACACATACACCCATCCACACATACACACATACACATGCACATACATGCACACACATGAAACCCACACACGCATATGCGCCCACATCACGCACCCGAGGAGGTCTGCAACGCGCTGCTGGATGTTGGCTGCAGATTCCAGCTTGACACCGGCTTGCCGCTGTGCTGCTTGTTCCACTTTCAGCTGTAAGTACACGTGCACGATGTTCATCAGTTCGCGTTCTGTCAGAGCACTTCGTCCCCGCATATCCTTGAGCTCCTTGAGCTCGCTCTCCAGTTGCTCCACGTCCCGCGCCACAGACGCAGAGCGGCGCGGCCTCTTCGGCAGGGGCTGGTCGTGACCGCTGCTACCGGTTGCTGCCGTTACCGTTGCTGTCGTGGCAGGTGCCACTGGTTGTGCTGGCGGTGCAGGTGTTGGCACAGCGGTAGCCGTTGGCGCTGCTGTTCCGCTCGTTGAGGAGGAAGCGGCGCTTGTTGGCGTCGTGCCTGTTGAAGCGGGTGCCACTGCTGACGCCATGGATGTGCTTGCCATTGGTGTTCCCGTCGCTGGTGCCGCCGTTGCTGGTGTTGGCGTGGCAGTTGCCGGTGGCAGCACCACCGCTGTCTCCTGCTGCACGACACGATCCCCCATCCCTCAGCCTCTCGCCGTTATGGGTGGTGTGTGTGTGTGTGTGTGTGTGTGTGTGTGTGTGTGTGTGTGTGTGTGTGGGTAGTGGGGGTTGCGCTCCTCACGACAGCAGCGAATGCAAAACAGGGAAACACGAAAACAAAACCAAAACAAACGCGCCAGAAGCAACGAGAGTGCCAACAACAAGACGCAAGCAAGACGACGACGCAGCCACTGACACAGCACACAGCGACACACAGCGACACACAACGACACAGCTTCCGACGACAACAACGACAGAAGCGCGGAGCAACAATGGCGATGGCAGCCAAGGCGATCCAGGAGTGGTACAGGCGTGCAGAGGTGCCCACGGTGAAGGGCGGGAGCTTCACGTCAGAGTGGGCAGCCGCTGCCAGC